AAAGGAACTGAAACTGGCCAAGAAACATCCCACTAGAATTTCAGCCTTCTGTTTTTTCTGGTTCCCCAATTAGCAACTTACCTGCAAAGGCTGGCGTGTGATAGTTGAGTTTGAACTTACAGCTTTCCAGCTTACCGGGTTAGCAGCTTATCTGCATTGAACTTGGACAGGCCCATAAGTGGGAAGCACGTGGGCAAGAGCGCCAATTTCGGAAGTGGGACTCGTACATACATGTAAATTAAATCTCCAAAGTTTCAGCCTTGCAGCTTTTTAGGTTTTGTAAATTCTCTCACACATTCATTTTTCGCCACTGGTTATGTTTAGGCGCATGAACAAGCACAGCTTCCTTACAGATCGCACCCGGTCTGGAAAGTAGTACCAAACTTTGGGGCCAGTGCTGTGATGCATTTTTGCCTATACGCAAATTGCAAAAAACGCATACTGCAACGACCTTGTCTGTGGGTGTGTGTGTGTGTTCGTCTGTCCGGGTATTTCAACTCGGCAACCAAGCAAGTTCCAGCGTCAAGATTTTGCTAATGAGTACCCCGGCCAAGTGCCACCCCAGAACCGCGGTACCAACCCTCACGCATGTCTAGGTCCCGCATACGAGAGGGTGAAATTTTTGGTGGGAAAATTGATAACTTCGGAAACAAGAGAGAAGGCTGAAATTTTGAGGTTATGTTCCCTGTCCTCATAAAACTCAAAGATTTCAAATTCACTCCCCCCCCCCACCTTCTCCCCAGGCGTGCGTGGTACTCGTGCATGTCCCTCAATCCCCCAGTCTTTCTGGTTCGCAAGTTAGCGATTTTCCTAACTCGAAAATCGCTAGCTTACGAACCAGGAAGGCTGGGAGATTGAAATTTTTAAGGAAGATTCCTAGCACATGTACAACCTAAAATTATCCGAATTCAGCCCCTCGGTGTGCGTGGTCCTCATGTACGGCCCCACGGAAGTTTCTGGAGGGAAAATGGCTAGCTCGGGAACCGGAAAAGCTGGGGGGCCAAAATTCTCAGGGGATGTTCCCAGCACATGTACAACAAAAATTTATCAGATTCAGCTTTCAGGCATTCGTGATTCTCACGTACGGTTTCGCAAAATTTTTTGGCGGAAAAATGGCTAACTCGGGAAATAGGAAAGTTGGGAACTGAAATTTTAAGTGTATGTTCTCAGCTCCGTGAAAGTTAAAGATATCAAATTCACCTCCCAGATACGTGTGCTTCCCACGAAACTTTTTGGCAGGAGAATTGCAAACTCCAGAATCGGAGAAGTTGAAAGCTAAAATTTTAGCGGAACGTTCCCTGTCCAAGTACTGCATAGACAATTGACTTCTCGAACTTCGAGGACCAGTATGTCACAAACCCCAGCAACTAACTTTCTCAGCAATCTCATTACAGCACGAAATACCGCAAAAATGCATGATCGCACTGGCCCGCCCGGTGCGCGCCGCCAATGGCTGTCTTTTTTTTGTGGCGGATTTTTCTTTGTCTCTTTTTCAGCGTTATGCTTTTTGTTTTGCTGGCAAGCGAGCTGTTCGGTACTTTCCAGCGAGAAAGCAAAAATCACCCTGCCTTCGAAGAGATTGCACGCATACGTAGAAAAAGTGGTAAGTACTAACTGGAAAGAGGCAGTTTAGGGCAGAACAATCTAAGAAGAAACTAATACTGTTTCTGGCATGTTTGAGCGTTTCAGCAACATTATTTTTAATAATATCAATAAGCATCACGAAAAAACTATAAAAAAAGAGAAAGTTTTTCAAAAAAGTCCGCCACGATAAAAATCAGCAG